CTGGCTACTAATACTGTGATTAATTACCGAAGGGAACAATGCTGGGGACTGTATGTAAGAGTGGAGTCGTCCAGGGCGCCACGCGGCACTCACACATGTTGCACTGATATCGATTACCGAATTAGGACCCGATCGCGGTGCACGCGCCGGGGCTTCAAGGCGAAACCAGCATGTCGCGAGACTCTCTTCAAACACGTCTATCTTCGCGAGATTCGGCCGTAGGCAATTCGTTTGTTCGCGTTTTTTAATATTCAGCCCCCCCCACCCACCCACACACCACACCCTCACCCACACACACCACATTTCCCCCAAAGAAAGAAAAGAAGGGGAAAAAACACGGCTTAAATTCAAGGCGTTTAAGTTTAAGAAATATCAAAATGGGTTTTCAAATGTAGTATGTTATTATAAGAATGTTTTTGTATTAAAACTTTTTAAAAAAAAAACAATCAAATTTATTAATAATTTTAAAATATTACAAAAATGTATGCATTATCATACGCAAATTAAATAAATTAGTAGATAAAATTCAAAGGGCTTTATTATGTAAAATAAATATTTAGCAAATAATATATTTAAAAAAAAATTATATATATGTATACATAACAGTTATATATATATGCAAGTTACTGAAGTGGTTGGTTGTAGATTGTGGCCGTTGGTTATGGGTCTTGAGTTTATATTTTTTAGGGAAAAGTATTAAAGACATATAAAAATCCTTTATTGAATTAGAGGACGCATCTCTACAAGCAGGGCTGGAAGTTAACAACCAAAAAAAAAAAAACAAAATACATCAACTTTTGAAAAAGTAAATATTTCAAATACCTAGGATCGTTGCTAAATGAAAGAAACTAATTACTAACAGAAATAAAAGAAAAAATATCAGCCGGAAACATGGCATACTTCAGGAGTCAGAAAATACTCAAAAGTAAAAACATTACAAGAGAAACAAAGAAAACTATTTATAAAACTGTAACCAGACCAGTTGTAACATATGCAAGTGAAACTTGGACCCTTACAAAAACAGCAGAAAACCTATTAAACACATGGGAGAGGAAAGTTCTCAGGAAAATATATGGGCCAACAAAGGATGAATATAGATGGAGAATACGAACCGACCAGGAAATAGACAGTCTATACCAGGATGCCACGGTAGTAGCAGAAAAAAAAAGGGGCAGGCTACGCTGGGCAGGACACCTAGAGAGAATGCCAAATGACAGAGGAACGAATAGGGTACATCACCAATAACCCAGAGGAAAAAGGCTCAAAGGCAGACCGAGGCGTAGGTGGATAGATGATGTGGAAAAAGATCTACAGCAGTTTAAAAGTCCAAGCATGGAAAAGAAAGTCATTAGTTAGGTCTGAGTGGAAGGAAGTGATGAGGCAGGCCAAAGCCCTACATGGGCTGTAGCACCACAGGGATGGATGATGGATAGATATAAATTTATACATATAAATATACACATATCATTATCATGTCCCTTAGTCCTTGGACCGTTGGGGTGCCACAGATGACATGAGAACTATCCTTCTATACATATTATCGGACGTTCGCAGTTGTAAGTAACAAGCAAAACGTTATTTATTTATTTATTTTTTAAAGTACTGGAAAACAGATTTAACAAAGTCTCTAAAAATTTGGATTCTATTGACCCGTGGGCTGTGCTATTTGTGAGCTTGGGGGTCATCTCTCGGTTCATAGGATCACTGCTCAGATTATGGGTCTCGCTGATAGGAGAGCCTGATAGGGGCGGTAACATCTGGTACAGTAATATAGGCCTTTTTTTTATCCGCCTTTTGCTCTGTCCAAGCCACATTCACCCGCGTTTCGTATTCGTCATATCATACACACACACACACACACACATCAAAATCAATAATCTCTCCATGCTGACAATTAAATGTAGGATTCATAATTTCCCCCTTCCCCCCCCCCGGTCCCCCCCCCCCCCCCTTTCTAGTAGACCAAACATCCCTGTTTTGTCAGAGTTTTTGGTATAATTTCCATAAGATAATAATAAAGCACATGAGCGCCCATTCTACTGTGAACTAATGTGTATTTGTGTGAGATGTCAAGGTCACAACGACACAGTGCAAATTTTTTTCTTTTTTTTTCTTCTTCTTTTCTTTCTGTTTCATTACAACTTCGGTTAATCTTAATAGCCACGTCATCAAGCTTGGAACAGAGACGTTTTTAAACAAATCTATAGTTTTCCACGTCAACTGACCAAGACTTTAACAAAACTTAACGAGACATATCAAATTCAACGTTTTTCCCTGCTTTTATTCCAACTTATGATGAGGACTCGACTCCGAGAAAAGGTGAGGAGGACTCTGTTCACTAGACTAAGACAGTGGTTCTTAACCTGGGTTCGATCGAACCCCAGGGTTCGGGTGAGTCAGTTTCAGGGGTTCGGCAGAGGTCCCAACAAAATTAGAAAAAAAAAACATATTTTATTTTTCCTATTATAAGAAGGGTTCGGTGAATGTGCATATGAAACTGGTGGGGTTCAGTACCTCTAAAAAGGTTAAGAACCACTGGACTAAGATTATTTACGGCGTAAAAACCGCCCAGAATGCATTGGATTTGTGTAAAGGCGGGTGCAGATTGACCGTGAACCCAGGTCATTTAAAATCTTTTGGGTTTTTGTCCATAACCCTGTCGGATATAACAATCGAAAAAAATTAGATAATGACCGCGTCATTGACGTCTATTCATAACTGTTACTCTCTGTGTTAGTGTTTCCTTCTTCTTCCTCTTCCTTTTTCTGTTCCACCTTTTTTGTGTTTAGTTGCCTGGCGATCTCGCCTAAGCCATGTATTTGAACAACGTGAATAACAACTTTGATATGATCCTCGGAATAATTGTTTTTTTTTGTAAGTTAAATTTGAGCTTCTTTGTCATCCAAGCAAGACGAAATTCCTGACATGAGCTATGATTGCAGTAGTATCCATGAATTTATTGATGCACCGAGGAGCTAACGTCCCCCATATCGGCCAACGAGTTGTTTATAATCCGTGCATGACGTCTTTCCGGTGTACTCTTTTCTAAGTGTGGCGTGCAATCAGAAGGTATTGACAGAAAAGGCTTACACAGAAAGTACCTAACCCCCCACCCCCCCCCCCAAAAAAAAGTGACCGTCTAAATGCTAATGAGTTGAATCACACACCAAGACATATTGACCTATCGGGTCTTTTNACGTCCCCCATATCGGCCAACGAGTTGTTTATAATCCGTGCATGACGTCTTTCCGGTGTACTCTTTTCTAAGTGTGGCGTGCAATCAGAAGGTATTGACAGAAAAGGCTTACACAGAAAGTACCTAACCCCCCACCCCCCCCCCAAAAAAAAAGTGACCGTCTAAATGCTAATGAGTTGAATCACACACCAAGACATATTGACCTATCGGGTCTTTTCATCGGGCCAGTATGACGTCAAATGTGAAGTTCCCCGTTATCTCGCAGTGAAAAGTTCGAACTGCTGATCCCTCCTCCAATGAAGTTCCCCGATAAGACGAAGATCGTTAAAGACGTTGAAGCCACAGAGCATTAGAGATGGTGGTGCCCAGACACAGAGCATTAGAGATTGTGGTGCCCCAGAGACACAGCATTAGAGATGGTGGTGCCCAGACACAGAGCATTAGAGATGGTGGTGCCCAGAGATAGAGCATTAGAGATGGTGGTGGTGCCCAGAGACAGAGCATAAGAGATGGTGGTGGTGCCCAGAGACAGAGCATTAGAGATGGTGGTGCCCAGAGACAGAGCATAAGAGATGGTGGTGGTGCCCAGAGACAGAGCATAAGAGATGGTGGTGGTGCCCAGAGACAGAGCATTAGTGATGGTGGTGCCCAGAGACAGAGCATTAGAGATGTGGTGGTGCCCAGAGACAGAGCATTAGAGATGGTGGTGCCCAACGACAGAGCATTTGAGGTGGTGGTGCCCTGAGACAGAGCATTGGAGATGGTTGTGGTGCCCAGAGACAGAGCATTAGAGGTGGTGGTGCCCAGAGACAGAGCATATGAGATGGTGGTGGTGCCCAGAGACAGAGCATTAGAGATGGTGGTGCCCAGACACTGATCATTAGAGGTGGTGGTGCCCAGAGACAGATCATTAGAGGTTGTGGTGCCCAGAGACAGAGCATAAGAGATGGTGGTGGTGCCCAGAGACAGAGCATTAGAGATGATTGTGCCCAGAGACAGAGCATTAGAGATGGTGGTGCCCAGAGACAGAGCATAAGAGATGGTGGTGGTGCCCAGAGACAGAGCATTAGAGATGGTGGTGCCTCGAGACAGAGCATTAATGGTGTTGGTGCCCAGAGACAAAGCATTAGAGATGTGGTGGTTCTCAGAGACAGAGCATTAGAGGTGGTGGTGCCCAGAGACGGAGCATTAGAGATGGTGGTGCCCAGAGACAGGGCATTAGAGATGGTGGTGCCCAGAGACAGAGCATTCAAGATGGTGGTGCCCAGAGACAGAGCATTAGAGATGGTGGTGCCCAGAAACAGAGCATTAGAGGTGGTTGTGTCTAGTGACAGATCTCTGTATCATAGTTCTGATGCCCGACTCCCTACTGAAAAACAAAATATTTTACACCCACTAATGGATTTATTAAAAAACGTTAAAAAACGAAGTGTTATACTTCTATTTACGTGAAACGACTGCATCAAGAGAGCGCGAGTCAAATAGCCAAGAACCATCAAACTCATGGGATTGGTCTCAAGAATTCACAAAGTGTCTAGCTCAGACTTAAAGAGAAGATTCAGCCGTTTGGATTTTTGTCAGGAAACAATAAATATAATGACTATAATACTTTTCTACATATATTTTTTTTCTAAAGAAGAAGATAGAATCGTACACGTTGTACATAAAAAAAAATAACGGTGACAGCCATAATTAAAGCCATAGTCTCGTGAAATATGGTGAGTCTTATCCAAGCTGTTACTAACGTTTTAGCCTCTCGGTCCGGGGCAACAGCTTTCTGAGCGCACCTTCCATCCCATGTAAGTATAAGTGGCACAATACCGCCGGGAGAACGTCACTGCAAAATTTTCAGTTTTATCATATTAACCCATTGTTTTGATAAAATACACCGTGCTTGTACGCCTGCTTACTCGTACGCCTGTTGACTTGTACGCCTGTTTACTTTTACTGTACGCCTTGGACGAAACCCGTGGAGTCGAACAGCGGCCAGAGAGGTGAGGCATCCGAGTTACGCAAATCCTGTTTTAATTAAGCCTGGCGTCTCGTCATCTAGGGATCTGATGTTGAGAGAAAAGGGAACGGCAGGGCACTGAGGAGGATTTAATTATCGGCGACTCCCGTTTAGAGAATCGACCCCCCGAGTCATTTTCCTCAACAGAAGTCAATTTTGATGAAAAGCATTTGCATAAAAGGGGGCACCTCTATCGACCACTTGTCAATGGTATAACGGCCGGCTACGAAATCTCGAGCCAATCGAAAAGCAAAGAAGAAGAAAAAAAGGAAGGGGAGAAACAATTTTTCCGAGAGGCGAAAACAAAACGGGAGCTTTCTTGAAACGTTTCAAGTCTCCACCAAGCCGGGAGGTCTTGATAGCAGGCGTTCGATTGGAAGGATATGACATGGTATATCACAGAACAGGTTGCTCCCATGCCTTCGGTACAGGACGTCACCAGAGCATCGACGCCCCAGTACAGCGAAGATCAGTACGCGAGCCCAAGTAACTTTTTACTGCAGCCAGGGCTGGACGCCGGTACGCTAGACGCGTCAACCTACACCTACCTGCATACGATATCGGAGCCGCTCGGCTGTTACCAGCAGCCGTACGGCGTCCACAGCGTCAACCCGGCAGGAACCGCGTACCAGCACCAGCAGCACTTTCGGGAGAATACTTTCGTGTGGGTCGGCGCGAACAACTTCTACCCGTCCTGCGAACAGAGATCCCAGAGCGAACCTTACAGCCCGCAGCGCCATCACGGCCAGCGAAGACTTGCGGGCGAGAGATCGGAGAAGGCCGGGCGAAGGCGCCGCGCCCCAACCGTGGCTCAGAGACGGGCGGCCAACATCAGGGAACGTCGGCGAATGTACAACCTGAACGAGGCGTTCGACTGTCTACGACAGCGGATCCCGACGTTTGCCTACGAGAAGCGGCTGTCGAGGATCGAAACATTGCGCCTGGCCATCTCTTACATTTCCTTCATGGCGGGGATCGTCAACGGGGAGGACCCCAGCACCCTCAGGGTCGGCTCGTACGACTCCGGGTTGTGCCGACCCGCCGCTCTGACCCAAACCACCCTGCGAGACGGAGACTCCGTCGCGGAGTCGCGGAGCAGTGAGAACGATTACGACGACGGCAAGGACGACGACGAGGATGAGGAAGGGGAGGATGGAGTGAGTGGTAACGAGGAGGAGGAGGACAGTGAGGACTCGAGCCCTGACGACACACGGTGCGATCAAAGTGTGCTCAGCGTGTAAGCGAGATGCGTGCTAAGGGAAATGCGTGTTTAAAAAAATATATTAAAAAAAGGAACAAATACTTTCATGATCTTCAGCAGAGTGATGAGTTCGAGAAGTCGACCAGTCGTGTTGTGGCTAAATCTGATACACGAACAAGGACGTTGAACAAGAAGTGACGGCGTCTTCATTGTTGATTTGTGAATAAAGTCAGTGCCCTTTATAGCTGTTGGTGTGGCATTCGCAATCCAGTGGTGGATTAACTTTCGGACGTTCCACTGTGGTTTTGTTCACAGGCCTGCTGTGCGTACGCTTCTTTGTGATGGAGTTTAGTTGTGTACGCGGGAACCTCTCGGTGGTAGAGCTCAAGCGTGTTAGCACTCATCGAAACTCCTAGCTTTATCAAATAAATACAAACTGTTCTAATGGACTCCAAGCACCGAGGAGTTAAAAAGTATTATACTAGTTCTGTGTTATTGTATTTTTTTTTATTACTTGTTTACTGTTCATGTTTCTGCATGTCTAGTAGGCACGTTTCTCGTTAATGACAGAATATCAGCATTAATTAACATCTCGTGACTGAATTATACAACGTATGGTGTATAATTATGTTTTTTTAATTTATATTCATAACCCCCCCCCCCCCACACACACACACACACACACAAGACACTAAACCAACGATCATAAAACTGAAACAGAGCTGGAAACCTATGTCGGGTTGGAAGAACCAGCAACATTATACTATAGGGTTAACTAAACGCCTCTCTTTCACAGTGTCATCTCAGAGTTTGACGGTTCTCTCTCTCACAGTGTCATCTCAGAGTTTGACGGTTCTCTCTCTCACAGTGTCATCTTAGAGTTTGACGGTTCTCTCTCTCAAAGTGTCATCTCAGAGTTTGACGGTTCTCTCTCTCACAGTGTCATCTTAGAGTTTGACGGTTCTCTCTCTCACAGTGTCATCTCATAGTTTGACGGTTCTCTCTCTCACAGTGTCATTTTAGAGTTTGACGGTTCTCTCTCTCATAGTGTCATTTTAGAGTTTGACGGTTCTCTCTCTCACAGTGTCATCTCAGAGTTTGACGGTTCCCCTCTCACGGTGTCATCTAAAAGTTTGACGGTTCTCTCTCTCACAGTGTCATCTTTGAGTTTGACGGTCTCCCTCTCACGGTGTCATCTAAAAGTTTGACGGTTCTCTCTCTCACAGTGTCATCTTAGAGTTTGACGGTTCTCTCTCTCACAGTGTCATCACAGAGTTTGACGGTTTTCTCTCTCACAGTGTCATCTCAGAGTTTGACGGTTCTCTCTCTCTCACAGTGTCATCTTAGAGTTTGACGGTTCTCTCTCTCACAGTGTCATCACAGAGTTTGACGGTTCTCTCTCTCTCAGTGTCATCTCAGAGTTTGACGGTTCTCTCTCTCTCACAGTGTCATCTTAGAGTTTGACGGTTCTCTCTCTCACAGTGTCATCTCAGAGTTTGACGGTTCTCTATCACATCGTGATCCTAGCCTAGACTGCTTGACGTTTCTTTTCCTTTCTCAGCGTGATCCCTGAGTGACGTAGTGTAGGCCACTAAACGCCTCTTCTCTCTCCTAGAGTACGCTACTAGACGACTCTTCTCTCTCCTAGAGTACGCTACTAGACGCCTCTAGAGCCAACAGTAGTGTACACCAAGTAGTTGTGGACCATTGAATGTCATTGTGCTAATCAGTGAACACACGGGGACAAAGACTTACTTCACCAACAGATCCACTAACACCAATAGTGAACACACGGGTACAAAGACTTACTTCACCAACAGTTCCACTAACACCAATAGTGAACATACGGGGACAAAGACTTACTTCACAAACAGATCTACTAATACCAATAGTGAACACACGGGGACAAACACTTACTTCACCAACACATCTACTAATACCAATAGTGAACACACGGGGACAAAGACTTACTTCACCAACACATCTACTAATACCAATAGTGAACACAAGGGGACAAAGACTTACTTCACCAACACATCCACTAACACCAATAGTGAACACACGGGGACAAAGACTAACTTCACCAACACATCTACTAATACCAATAGTGAACACACGGGGACAAAGACTTACTTCACAACACATCTACTAATACCAATAGTGAACACACGGGGACAAAGACTTACTTCACCAATTCATCCACTAACACCAATAGTGAACAGACGGGGATAAAGACTTACTTCACCAACACATCCACAAATACCAATAGTGAACACACGGGGACAAAGACTTACTTCACCAACACATCTACTAACACCAGTAGTAAACACACGGGGACAAAGACTTACTTCACCAACACATCTACTAATACCAATAGTGAACACACGGGGACAAAGACTTACTTCACCAACACATCTACTAACACCAATAGTGAACACACGGGGACAAAGACTTACTTCACAACACATCTACTAACACCAGTAGTAAACATACGGGGACAAAGACTTACTTCACAACACATCTACTAACACCAGTAGTAAACACACGGGGACAAAGACTTACTTCACCAACACATCTACTAATACCAATAGTGAACACAAGGGGACAAAGACTTACTTCACCAACACATCTACTAACACCAATAGTGAACACACGGGGACAAAGACTTACTTCACCAACACATCTACTAACACCAGTAGTAAACACACGGGGACAAAGAATTACTTCATAACACATCCACTAATACCAATAGTGAACACACGGAGACAAAGACTTACTTCACAACACATCTACTAACACCAATAGTGAACACACGGAGACAAGAATTACTTCACAACACATCTACTAATACAAAAAGTGCAACACACGGAGACAAAGACTTACTTCACCAATACATCTACTAACACCAATAGTAAACACACGGAGACAAAGACTTACTTCACAACACATCTACTAATACCAATAGTGAACACACGGAGACAAGACTTACTTCACAACACATCTACTAATACCAATAGTGAACACACGGAGACAAAGACTTACTTCACCAACACATCTACTAACACCAATAGTGAACACACGGAGACAAAGACTTACTTCACCAACACATCTATTAACACCAATAGTGAACACACGGAGACAAAGACTTACTTCATCTACTAACACCAATAGTGAACACACGGAGACAAGGCTTACTTGACAACACATCTACTAATACAAATAGTGCAACACACGGAGACAAAGACTTACTTCACCAACACATTTACTAACACCAGTAGTAAACACACGGAGATAAAGACTTACTTCACCAACACATCTACTAATGCCAATAGTGAACACACGGGGACAAAGACTTACTTCACCAATTCATCCACTAACACCAATAGTGAACACACGGGGACAAAGACTTACTTCACCAACACATCTACTAATACCAATAGTTAACACACGGGGACAAAGACTTACTTCACCAACACATCTACTAATACCAATAGTGAACACACGGGGACAAAGACTTACTTCACCAACACATCTACTAACACCAGTAGTAAGCACACGGAGACAAAGACTTACTTCACCAACACATCTACTAAAACCAATAGTGAACACACGGAGACAAAGACTTACTTCACCAACACATCTACTAATACCAATAGTGAACACATGGAGACAAAGACTTACTTCACAACACATCTACTAACACCAATAGTGAACACACGGAGACAAAGACTTACTTCACAACACATCTACTAACACCAATAGTGAACACACGGGGACAAAGACTTACTTCACCAACACATCTACTAACACAATAGTGAACACACGGAGACAAAGACTTACTTCACAACACATCTACTAACACCAATAGTGAACACACGGGGACAAAGACTTACTTCACCAACACATCTACTAATACAAATAGTGCAACACACGTCACAGAGCGTTGTCACTCTAATGAACACCTGCATGCGCTGTGGTTTTTTGGTTGTTGTTTTTATAATGCACAAAGCATGGCAGTGTTTATAGAGAGAAGAATTGTTTTTAAAATCTTCCATTAAAAAAGTAAATACTATAATTAAGACTTATAGCGAATGCTTTGTTAATATAATTTATATATAGATCCATGATGTGCAATCATAGTTGAGTTACGACTCAAAGAAAACTTTTTTGAGACTTCACCATAATTTAATGTTTTGTGTTTGCATAGACAGGGGCTACCCGGTAAGACAGGATTGAAATTGTTTTAAAATAAGTTTTTTTTCTTTCCTAAAATAAACATTATTTAAAAAACAACTTTCCTAGCGTATGGAGTTACACGTACGTTATAATATTTCTCCACAGCTTTAACGTGAAAAATGTAAACATACCCCATTTCACCAATAAGACTATCTATATAATGATCTTTATCACAGCGCCATGAGTTATGTGCGACACTTGGGTATTCTAGCTGGTGTTGTTGTCACAAGAGGCGTAGCAAGGTTGTGGCGAGACACACGGCGAGTGGAACAAAGAATTACATTTTTTTGGTTTGTTTTGTTTTTGTTTAAAGTTGCAAACAATTCTTCGTTCGTGCTTATTCTAATTAAATAATCTCTCAATAAGTATCTTTGTGTACCATGAATTTGAAAAAAACCAAACACATGTATGTAAACCTGGCTTGGATTCTATCTTATTCTTGTAGATCAGTGGTTCTTAACCTTCCTAATACCTCGACCCTTTAATACAGTGCCTCATGTTGTGGGCACCCCCACTAGTAAACAATTTTTCGTTGCTACTTCTTAAATATGTGTTATCAGATGGTCTTAGGCGACCCTTGTGTAAGGGTCATTCGACCCCAAAGCGTGTCGCGAACCACAGATTGGGGACCGCTTTTTTTAAAAGATAATTATGTCTTTTTAGATGGCACTTACATTCATTTATATATTTTTATAGATGAGCGGTTCTCAACCTAACCTTTTCCCAAGAATTGGCATCAAAGTAAGATGGCATCTATAACAACATTAATCTCACGCAATACAATGTTTTAGCAAAGTGTCCTAAAGGACGCTGCCACTAATTGAAGACACCAACGTTTTTTTTAGAACCGCTGAGCTGTGTTACAGAAGTAGGCTACTTCTTGTATTACTCTACGTGTGTGTCGTTATACAAAAGTATTAGAAGTTGAAAGCCGCTCATGTTGAACATAAGATGACAATGACGCGCTCTAGATTATGCTCAGAGACATCGAGCTGCCCGCATACCAACACGTAATCTTCTGTTGTTTTTTGTTTTGGTTCAAAAGTCAATGCCGTAATATATTATGGAATACTGACACATTCAGGGCAGTGTTTTACCTGTAACATTGGACACACAAAGATCAGTATTAAACAAAATGTACACTTATCTGAGAATGTTTTTTAATTTATTTTTTTTTGTTCTTGTTTTTTGTTGTTGCTTTGTTAAATATTTTTTGTTTTGTTTCTTGAAAGTTATGTTTCAAAATTAATCCTCTATTTTCTTAGTTTTAAAGCAATTTATTCCCCGTGTTTAATTTATTAAGACTCTAACCTCTTAAAGCATCTCGAACTAGTGTTTAATATTATTTTTTTAAAAGGTGGTTTGAGGGTATTGTTTACTTGAAATCGCCCTGATATAGGAAGCGGCTGTCGGTGC